GACTTAGAGATTCCGTCTTTGACCACCCCAAAGCCAAACTTCCCAAATCCTCCACTGAAACCCCAGTCTCCTAATATGCATAAACAAAAATCAAAGAGGACCCTGCAGACATGCTGTCTTAATGATTTTCAGTACCATTTTTCAAGCGCAATAAGTTTTTGAGTTACTGGTTTAGACACGGACATCAAGACATCAAATTAAAGTATGTGGCTATCCATGTTTTTTAGAGCTTGTTTCATGATTTTATCCAGCTGCCTCTTCATTGAGGGTCACATTATTGAAAATATGAAAGTCTAAGTGATCTTTTGACCATTCTCTGTCTAAATATTTTGAGAATAATGGCTGTTACAACATTTTGTTCAAATCAAAACTCACATTAATAAGCAGGTATCTTGATGACTCTAATTCAAAACAAGTATTTTAGGAACAAAATTGCAAACAGATATTTTAAGTCCAATCCCACAACATGTAGATATTTTATGCAGTTCCTATTTTCATTTTATCCACCTCCAGTCTTGAATGTCAAACCACAGAACATTTTCTGGCACAGTATATTACAAAGCTCATTTGTATTAAATTTATCATTTATGCTAAAAGTTTCAAAGCACACAGACGGAATAAATAGATCTCAAAGAAAACTAAATTGCATTTTAAACAGGGAAGATTTATTAATCAGAAAAAAAATCCATAACACACATAATCAGAGTCAAAAGTGTCCACAATTAGTGTAGATGTTTCAAAGTATCACTTGACTAAAGCAGTCAAGTAGAGTGACTATTTGAAGTCATTACACATCACTGGCCCCAAAATAGGTTAAACATTTTTTAACCATGATGTAAAGTGAGAAAACAGTTATAGAATCAGAAAACACCAGCTGAACTGTAAGGTGCACTGCTCTAAGTTGTACACTTGGAGGCAAGAACAGAAACCACCTCTACACAACACTTGAAAAGCAAAAAATCAACTTGGCACTTAAAAGACGTTGCAGTAATGTGTCTGCTGTAAGCTGATGACCCAAAGCATCAGTAAAAGGCAAGGGCCATTCTAGCCTCACCTCCTCTACCTTTTCTATGTAGTAAACTAAACTAAAGTTTAGCCAAGCACTAGGACTACAGTGAAGTTCCGGTGGCAATCCATTCCCTGGGTTGTGGGAGAAACAACCAGTCCACATCCCCAGGTAGCTCCTGATATTGCCTGTGGACTGCTGGCACCTTTCTACCTCACTAAAGTAAAATCAAACTTTTCCATAAGGAATTGTAGCCTGAACATGGAGAACATAACTATAATATCACAGGTAGTGGTAGAATATGCCATCTTAGCTTAAAAAAAAAAAAAGGTGGAGATCCAGCAACCTAAAACAAATAGTTGGAAACTAAAGACTAGGTTCAGTCTTGCTACTGACCTAGATAAACACCCAGACAAACATTTTGCCATTTACATTGTCATATATAGAGTGGATGTAAATTATATGGGTCTCCTGATGGAGAGTTTGTAAAAATAGACATGTGTTATAAAACTTGCAAATGAAAAGCAAGAGCTATGGAAAGGAAAATAGATTGAAAACAAATGCAAACACAACTCATTTACACATGCTGGAAATTTGTTTTGGAAATCAATACATCTGTTAGAAAGACTTGTCATTAACATGGTAGCATATCTTAAATTCTGCCTGAGACAAGCATCATCTAAAGGAAATACCTTACCATAACATCACAAAAATGAAAGCACTAGAGCCACGCAAGTCATCCAAAGTATTCTGTTAAAAAGAGATACTGAGCCAAAAGAATTTCTGGGCTAAATGAAGACACTAAATACAGCTGTTACACCAGGGATATGTGTTCTTTATTAAAAGAAGGCTATTCAGTAGGCCTGCTGCCAATATACAAAGATAAATGACATGAAGAGTGGCAAATAAAATAAAGTAACTGAGCAGCAACAGTGCACAAAGTAGCCCTCTGAAGTAAACACATATACAGAGCTCTATGTCTGTCATCCTGTCCATGGCCAGACATATCTCTACACATGGTCATAAAACGTGCTTCTAATCTGTGCAGAAGTATTGCTTATTTATTTTTTATGACTGTTATGAGCAGTTTGACACATTTTGGCTTTGGAAAGTTATCCTAAACTATCTTGCTGCTCAATCCAAACTCATGTCGGTCACTGGTTCTACTAATTTTTAAAAGGCTATTGGAGTTACATATAATTCTATTTAGCAATGAGTGACTGTTTGCAACTCTTAAATGTGCTTAAATTACAGCCCTCATACATAGGATCACATTTAACTTGTGAAAATATAGTTCATATGTAGAACAATAGTGTTCAGTATACAAAATATTGTGCTAGCAGGTGGATACACACGTCTGTTGGGAAAGAACCAAAATGGCTTTTGCAGTAGGAAATCCCACCCCAGAGAAGCCTTGCAAAACAGTGTATGGGCAAAAGAGACACATAGGAGTTTCAACAGAGATAGACATAAAGTAGAATACCTACAGGAAAAACAACCTAGACCATATCTACAGAACCACGGACTCATAATTGATAGTTTCAACACAGTAAAAAGGTTTTGGGGTCATTGATGACATTTCTCTGAAACTATCAGAATCTGGTGGGTTGTGATCAAGATTCACTGTGAAGGTGTGGATAAGGTGAACATGGAACTGTTATTAAACAAATCCTTGAAGCTAGAATCAAGGAGTCCTGAAGGAAACTAATAAGAACGTTTTAACAGACATAAGAAAGTAATTTTTTTGTAAAGCCACGATCTTCTGTAACTTGCTTCTGTGCAGGCTGTGGAGCCACACAGAGAGGTCCATAAATGGACACTAATGGAACTAGGAAGGGTTGGACCCTAATACAACTGTAGATGCTGAGAAGGTACAGCATGGGGCCAGGTTTAAATGTTCTCTCTCCTCTGTCACTGTCAGACACAGAGTAGTGATCTAAATGAACTACTGGTCCAGTTGGTATCAAATCACATTCTGCTTTTTAAATGTCAGTTATGTTCTATTTATGATTTATTAATTTATTGTGGTATTTATGCATTATTTATTAATAATTTTAAAACTTATGAACCATCACTCACTACAGTTATATTTCACTTAAAATTAAAACAATTGCTGAGACCTAATGGGCATCATGTAATATAGACCTGCCCTTGAAGAAAAAGCTTTTACTTGGAGCAGGAAATTTGTTTTCAGATATTATTAAAGTTATTAATTTGCTAAGTATGGGATTTATCTTGATTTTCCATTTGGCTGGGTTTACAAATCAAGAAAAGTGTCATTATTCCAAAATTAATACCTTTACAGAGTAAGGCAGTTGCTTGTCAAATTTCTCTCAGGACAAAATTGGATGAAGTCAGGAAATGTGACACCAGAGACTAACACATCATACTGTGAGAATATCACTATAGTCACATAGCTTGCCCTTACCTATTTTTACCTTCCTGGCATTGAAATTTAATGTTCAATTCCAAATTCAATAAAAACAAAACCAAAAAAAACCCCCAACACTGTTCTGGTGGTTGATTTTAAGCTGAGGTTTTCTTGAGAAAAAAATCCTATATCAATTCTGCTAAGTAGCACTTGTCAGTGTATTTAGGAGTAATTGGAGAGATTAATTATTTCAGTAGTGACTCATGTTGATTTTCTACATTTATGTAGGAAATTTTAAAGAATTTTTGTACCAATTGTACCTTTAAATCATACCTTCTGCACTGCTTTATTACATAAGATAACTTTTAGCATAGCTATAATGTAAGGGACTGCCTGGATCCAGGACTGCAGAATCACTTCACACTGAGTAAGATTTTCAGTGACTTGAGGCATCAGTACAGTCCCTTCTCACAGCTGTCAGATACTGAAATGGGTTTTACGTATGCAGAGTAACATATTAAGGACCTGGTTGTAAAAAAGCAAACAGATAAGCTTCCATTGCCTCCAACCGGGACTTGTCCGGATCTTCCATTCACAGCAAATATAACCATTTACTTTTACGATATTTTTCTACCCTTATTTGTTTTCAACGTTTTCCTCATTCATGCTTTCAGCATTCTTCAGCAAATGGTCAGAAGCATCTGTTCAAACAACTTTCACTGATTGTTTCCCACCTGCAGTAGGATACATTTTTACCATTCTGAGATTCTTCCTTCCCAAAAAGGCAGACAATAGATCGTGAAATGAGATGAGAAGAAAAGCAGTTGTTATAAATGCTTAACTTCTTAATAGATTTGCAGGTTAACACCTAAAGGCCCTAAAATATAGATGAAGAAAGAACAAAGCCCTAATCTCAAATTCAGGTCATTATGCTAAATATTGATAATAAATAAATGGGCCCAAATCAAATACAAATAAATTTCAGGGGGTTGGCTTAATAAACACACAAATAAATAAATATGAAAATATATCCCACCCCATTTCAAATTAACATATAGCTCTGGTTAACTTTTTTATTATTATTTTTAATCTCATTTTTTTATGTGCCAAAATTGCATCTTCTTTTTTAGAGCAAGGTGGCGATTTTCTTAACAAATACAGGCCTCGTCCTTAGAAAGCTACAGAGAAACACTGATTACGCTGGCTAAACATCAAACATATTAATACAAACACTAAACCAATTCATCGCGGAGTCTGAAATTTTGGGGCAAACTAAAGGCGTCTGAAAAGCAGATAACACGGTTCTCATTTCGTATATCTACAGCTCATGGACAGTGCCAGCGTTAACAGGAGGCACTGAATAGAAAGCAGTGAAAAGGCCCGACAAATTCCCGGCCCATATCGCAGAGCAATGTGCCCACATCTCGGCATTGGGGAGGATTTCACGGCAAATTGGCCGAAAACCACCCCCCAGCAGCAGCAGCTAGGAAGCCCGCGGAGGAAGGCTGTGCCTAGCCTCAGGCCCGCGGGGCTGCGGTACAAGCCTCCTTACAGCGGGAGCAGAGGTCGGCAGGAGGGGTGCCGGGGATGCTGCCGCGGCCGGGGCCGCCCGGCGGGACCCACCTTGGGCATCCGGATGTGCTCCATGGCGGCGGCGCCCGGCCGAGCTCCTCATGCACCACCCGCCGCCGGCGGAAAGGCGGCCCTGCGCACCTGGCCTCTTCCCGATTTTCTCCTGCCAGCCCTGCTGTTAAAAAAACTATATTTTTTTAGTAATATATTTTAATTTTTATCTTGATCTCGCGTTTTCCGGCGCAGATAAGAGGGAGAAGGGAGGATTTACTCCCGGCAGATGATGTGCCCGTGCTGCGATGCTGGCAGGTCACCGGCTGGCTCCACCTCCCCGGCAGCTGCCATGCTGCCCGGCGGCGGGGATGCTTCGCGCCTCCCGCCCGGCCCGGCCGCGTCGTCCCCGCAGCCGCGGGGACCCTCCTGCTCCTCGGCCGCTGCCTCTCCCCGCGGCACCCGAAGGCGCAACCTGGATGGTTTGCTCTCTTATCTAGAGTTACATCGCTCTTGTCCTTTCTTTCAGGGAAGATAAGATCGGTAACATAAAGGAAGCTCTGTCTGAGATCGCCTCCCCCCATTTTTGTTTGTTCCCTGACCCAGCATGTACAGTATCTCAAAGACAAAAGCTGCACTTACTGAAACTGAAGCACCGAATTTTGTTTATCTCAAGCTCTGCTTGTCTGTTTCTCTATAATTCACAACTTTGCTGCATCCTCAGATTTGCACAAGGGAGGATTTTTTGCAACACGCAGTTTTCAGTCATACACCAGAAATTCCTTTCCCCATCTTTTGCCTTACCTATTGCAAGAGACATGTTTCCTCTTGGAATAAAAAGAAATGCCACAGAGATGGTTTCCCCAGTTAACCTGTGCAAAGATGAAGAACAGGTATCTCTAGCTGTCTCTGAATTGCTATCATATTCAAAGCAAAAAGATAACCTTTCTCAGTGTTTATGCCAATATACAAGTTACTAGATGTGCTAATATATTATTTCAGAAAAAACATAGTCTTAGAGGCTTGTAAAATGCCCAGATAGTCTATACTGATCGATGTATTCCAGTAATTCTTCTTAAATAGGGACTACCCTCATCGAGGCATAGAAATAAATGTGCAACTTCTCAAACCCACAAAGGTCATGGCAAGAGTGCTTTGCTCCAGAGCAGGCGAAGCTCCCCACCTCTTGCTTGCACACAACACAGTAAGCTTGATTTATTTTGTGAAAGATAAAATATGGGTTGAGACAAACGTGGGGTTACCAAAAAACAAAAATACATTTTACCCCAACAGAAAGGGAATAATGGGTACAGCTGCACTGGCTTCAGTCATGCCAGTGTTTTTCCAATCCTGCTGATCTCTTACTAAGAAATAGCTAGATGAGAGGTTTTTTTGCTCCATTACTTATCCTCAAACCCAGGGCATCATAAGGGGTTTTTATGTCAACTCTTAGGTTAGAGGAGACAGAAGCTGTACTATCATGAGTGGAATATGTCACCTCCATATGTGACCATTCTGCTTGCTTCTCCCCTGTTTTTGCCCATTTCTGCCCTCCTTTCTCTCATAGTTCCACTGCTGTTATTGAGCAGGAGTGGCTGGAATGACCATAGTGTGAGACACCATCATATGGATGAAAACTCTTCTTGGAGTTCCTAATCATTGAATTTCACACTGTTCACTCAGATCTGTTTGAAAATTCACTGGATAGCATCCATAAAGTGCATGAATTACGTTAAGTGTAGACTTCACAAGACTCTTGATCAGTGGCTTATTTTATTCTCTATTTTAGGTGAGAGCATCAGAATCAATAAAAAATTAATCAACCATGGAATATTCATTTGTAGTTATGGCTGATGTGATTCACTGTATACATCATCATCTTTTAGCATTTGCCACCACCAGTGAGTCAAGTTGGAAGAATGCATGTTTATCCTTTCAGTCCCCAGAAATATTTACTTTTTCTCTGGTATGTCTTGTAATTCATCACAGCCAAGTTCAAGTCCTACTGGTAAAGTGAAGAAAACTTTCAGACCTAAGTGAGAATGCACTTTAACTCTGCTTCACTTTAACTCTGCTTCACATTCATCAATAGCTGCAAAACTAAGCCATTTCTCGAGAAAAGTGTTTATGTAGCAATCAGTTGCTCAACGTCCTGCCAGAGTTTTTGACCTGTCTTGGGCTGGTAAAATAATTGATGGGCAAGTGCAGCTGTAAACAGACCTTGGGTTTAGATAAGAGTTATGCCTACTGCAATTGTCATAGAAAGCTGCAGTAAGCACAACCTTCTAAAAATTCTCTTACATTTTTTATTTGCATTTCAGGCTCATAGAGACTGCTCCCTTAACAATCCTGGAAATTAAATCCTCTGTAGCGGTACAGTGAGAGCAACAACAAAAAATAACACTCCATAGACTACTGCTCTGACTCAACTAAGATGTAGGGGCAGGAAAATTAAATTGCTGTGCCTAAATAGGTTTTGACCTATCTGCTGCAAGTGCCAACAAAGTTCTCAATTAATGTTGCTTGAAGAAGGCCAGTCACTGAGGACGAGAATGATACCAGCATAATTATTTTCTATATGCATAAGAAATAGTCAGCTTTTAGTCTCATCCAGTAAAACCTGAAAGCACACATTTCACTTCCAATTTGTAAACTTGTCTGTTACATTCAATGGAATCACCTGAATGCTCAGATATATTGCATCTGTTACTAGCTACCTGACCTAAATTTGAATCATAATGTTAGATCTGGAAGACCTTATAGATTTATTTGTGTTTTCCAATTACATTTTACTTGTTTAAAGGTGTTTTCCTGTAGGCTGCATTTTAATATAATACAACTCAAACAAAAAATTGTGTACTTGTAGTAATACTTATTTTAAAGTTTAGTCTACAGATTTATAAACATATATTAAATGCTAACATATAGGGAAGAAATTAACTGGAAATTGGCAGTATAGATGCTTTGGTGCTAGGACAGCTGTAGCCAGGGTGGCAGAATCTGGCATATGGGATGAAGACGTGGAGACTGGGGTCAGCCCATGTTACCATGGGCTGAAGTCAAACAGTACCAGTTCGAGTGTAGCCCTGGGTTTGTGGATAAGGAATGGAGCAAAAAAAAAAAACCTGCTTGGCATCTCAGCAAGGAAATGCTTCTGGACCCAGTGTTGGCAAAAAGTGGTTTGTGCGCAACAGCACTTTCTCACGCAATCCAGCATACAGATCTTTGTATATTATTTGTTGAAAACAACAAAAAACCCAAATAGGACTACATCAAAGCCAACTGATTTTTTTTTTTTCATTCTTCTTCTAATGGAGATACCCAGTAAAATCCATGGAAAAATAGACTCTTTGTATTAGAAAAAAAGGAAGTGGTACCATCTTTTACCATAAAGTACAGTACATTAATACACTTTTGAACATAATGTATCTACACCAGTTAGACACAAGAGAGTCATGGAACTTGTTACTACTTTGTAGTTTCAAAATTCTTTTCTTTCACAATTTTCACTGTGCTGCTCTACTGCTTTAACCCTTTCATAGGGTAAAAAACCCCTATAATTTCTTAGAATTATAGCATCTTTAAGTTTGGAAAAGACCTCTGAGATAATTGAGTCCAACCATTAACCTAACAGTGAGATGTTACCATTAAATCTAAATCCAATCTCAACCTCCCCTGGCTCAGCTTGAGGCAGTTGCAGAGAGCAATAAGAGCCCGCCTGAGTCTGCTTTCCTCCAAGCTAAACAACTCCAGGTCCCTCAGCTACTCCACTCCTCATAAGATTTGTTCTTCTTATTTCCTTTTGTCAGGGTTTTTCATGCCACTTGTCAAATGATAAAGATTCATTCTTTTGGAACATGTTGACACCCAGGATAATCAGTACCATGGATTCAGAAACAGTATGTCTGTTTATATTTGTTTCATGACTTTTGAACTTTTTCAGGGGACATGCAACTTTCTCGTGGCAAATACACTTGGACACACAAACTTCACCCCCAGTTAATCTAGCAGGAGCTGCATGTGACAAGGTAAAGGATGCAAGGAGCAGCTGTCACTTTATTGTTTAACTTGCCTTTACTAGGTTTGACCTTTCAACATTTCCTTCAAGAACTGCTCAAAGCAGTCTTTGATTTGGACTTGTTATAAAACATTGTTGCATTGTTATAAAAACAAGTTTTTTGCAGGAAGGAATACCAGCCGGCCTCTGGAAACTGGAATGGTTTTGATGCTATTCTGCAGTTAAACAAAGTGATATTAATATCATATATCACATAACATTTATTATACATGATATATGATACATCATACATGATATATGATACATCATACATGATATCTGCCCATATTTGTAATAACTGGCCTGAAAGGCATAGTAGAGAAATAAAATAGGCAAAATTCTAGAATTACACAGGATGTATGTCCAGTTACTTACATGAAGATTCCTCAAATTGAGGAAACTGGCATGATTTTGGCAAAGTGATAACTGTTGATTAAATAAGAGCATTTCAACAAGATTAGAATACTCAGTCCCGTTACTCGAAAAATGCTGCATTTTTCATATCAAAGCATGTCAGCACAACCAGCTGGAGAGTAGAGTGTGTGGGGGGTCAGCAGTGATATACTTGGTATACCTCATACAGCAGTTAAAGGAAAGCATAGCACTTACAGGAAAGGGTCATTGATTACAGTAGGGATTGTAGGGGGAAAAAGGAAAGAAGTGCTCTTCAATATAGCCAGTAGAGAAACACACTCTTCCACAAGATGATTTAAAGCTCCTAAACTCTTGAAGTAGTGTAAATACTGCTTAGACATTTATCTCATTCTGAAAACCCATAGGCATAGATATTTTTACCTAAGCTCTTTTGCCAGTTAGATGGTTCAATGAAGAGCAATTGCTTCATCCTGGCCTTCACTGCTTCTCAGCAGGATACTGCTGTAATGGATAACTATATTTGGAACTGGGAACCTGTAAGTGTGGCCCCCACCCCTCCCGTACAGTAGCTATGTCTATCTGAGCAGGCCTGCTCTTAAGTTAAATCTACAGCTATGTGGAGAAACGTAGAAAAAAATATGAGTTATTACGTTTTAAAGAAATTACTTTTCATTAAAATCTAGCAGAAAAATGTGTTTCTTCCACTTAAAAATGGGAATTGCATATTTTGAAAGTGACTTTACTACAGAGTCAGGTATCAACCATGAGTAATAGTGAGTAACTGGATTGTTTTTGAGAAGTGTTAGGAAGTTTTATGGCTCCTAACCAGTCCTGTGGGGATTCTCCAAACCATAGCATCTGTGATAGTCTGACTACCTTTGCAATATCTTGTCCAGAATCT